ATTCCGTTTTGGAATTCATCAACTATCCAACACTTATTCCAACATAAAATTAATTTTGTTGGAATATTCATTGGAATTTCTAACTGAAATTTTTGCTGTTGGAATTTTTCGTTGGAATTGTAGTGTTTTTTTGTAGTGTTTAATGTATGCAAGCTAGGTAATTAGCTGTTCAAGCTTGGTTCGATTAAGTAAACGAACAAAACCATGATCGAGTTTTCACAAGTTAAATCGGGTTGTGTTCGCGAAACAATTTGAGTGATTGAGTTGAAGTTGTGTTTATACATATATCTTATATTTTATACTACTATTTATCCTCACAAGTTTGACTACTAAAACAACTTTGTAGTTTGTGGAAAACAGGAAATTGTTGTATTCAAGTCTATTGGATGATTCTATCAAACCCAAGTCAAACGAGCATCTAATGAACATACTTGAAAGTTGAATATCGAGTAGATTTGTTTGATTTTCAAAGTTGTTTGCCTAGTTAGGAAGATATAGTACATCAAGTACCAAGCTGAAAATGTGTGGTGGTTGGCCATTTCTAGTGTAGTTGATAGGTTTAGGTTTTTGGATTATCGAATTGGGCACAAATTAGGTGTACTTTAGTTTTTTAGGCTATTAATTAAGGAAACGACTACAGTCCCGGAATGGTTCCGTCAGTGTTTGTTATCGTAGATTATCTACACAATATAATTTACATTTGTATCTAATGATGAAAAACACTAACTGAACCATCCCGTAACAGGACCTTAACATTTTTCATTAATTATTCCAGAAATTCGTCCAGTCATATTTATAGTGAAAAAAAAATTGTGCAAGAACGGTCGACTTATTATATTTTCCTTTAATATATGCCTAATTTCTTGTACAACGGAAGTATGTAAACTCATTTAAAACAAAAGAATATGGCCAAAAATAATTAATAATGGTTAATTTAAAATGAAAAATTTTGTTTTGGTATGGCCGAAATTCATTAATTATTTATACATTTATTGGCAGAACAATTCTCTACCATTCAATAAATACGCGTTTCTAACGACCCACAACGCTTTCGCCATTGATGATGGGCAACCGAGACTAACTTTCACCAATCAAGAAGACACGATCTCTCAACAACTCAATGTACGTTATTTTCATCTCGTTTTCATTGCCTTTCCCCCTTTAAAACCACTATATAATTCACGTTTATGTTAATCGATTTTGATCTCTATAGAATGGTGTACGTGGCTTAATGCTCGATACATATGATTATGAAGGAGACATATGGTTGTGCCATTCGTTTGGAGGCAAATGCCATGACTACACCAAATTTGTAAGTAGTTCTTCACATTCATTATAATTTTTCGTGTATAAAACTTCATTTTTTGTACACTAAGGTCGACTTTTGTACGCAAAAATTACATAAATTCGACAATTTATATGTTACGAGCTATATATTGGTGAACATTTTGCTATCAGAGAATGAATGTTATCGTACTTCTAAGTCTCAAAATTTGTATTACTGATTGCCTACTTGAAGAAATAAGCACTGATTTTGAGTCATGTCTTTGCTTCTGAAGTTTGTACATACATAATTACACATATATTCATTACTTATACTTATATATTTGAACTAATTAATACAAACTTCATATATTCATGTCATCTAATATTTACAGAACCCCGCTATCGACACATTTAGGGAAATCGAAGCTTTCTTGTTTCAAAACCCATCTGAAATTGTGACGTTGGTTTTGGAAGATTACGTTGAAACACCATACGGATTGACTAAAGTTTTTAAAGACTCAGGCTTAATGAAGTATTGGTTCCCTTTGTCGAGAATGCCTAAAGGTGGCCACGATTGGCCTTTGGTTAGCGAAATGGTCGCGAAAAATCAAAGGCTTCTTGTTTTCACTTCGAAAGAGTCTAAGGAAACTAGTGAAGGCATTGCTTATCAATGGAATTACATGGTTGAAAGTCAATGTAAGGCCATATATAATATTTATTATGTTATTGCTGTTTTTAAATGTTTTGATAACTATATAGTATACTGATTAATGATCTATCTATGTTTTTATTTTATTTTATTTTATTTTTTTCTCTCTTTTGGTTGGTTTTAATTAGATGGTGATGATGGAATGGAGGTTGGAAATTGCTTCAATAGGGCCGAATCGAAAGTTTTAAACGATACGAGTAGATCTTTGGTGCTCGTGAATTATTTCCGGTCACTTCCGATTAAGCTTATGGCGTGTGTTCAGAACTCCGGCGACCTAGACAATATGCTCGGGACATGTTATACTGCAGCCGGAAACCGGTGGGCTAATTTCGTGGCCGTTGACTTTTATAAGGTCACAATTCCTTATAATTTGATTTTCTCTTTATTTTATTTTATTTTATTTTTTCTTTTTTTTGATAATTTTGTTATTTTAATTTTAATTGCAATTTATTGATAATTTTTGGTACATATGAATATGATGCAGAGGAGTGAAGGAGGGGGAACGTTTAAAGCCACGGACATGTTAAATGGGGAGCTCTTGTGTGGGTGCAAAGACGTCAATTCATGCACTGTAAGGCTAATATAATATAGTACTATAATATACATGATATACATAATTATCCCAAATAATTTAGAAGATGTTACGGCCCCGTTACGGAACCATTCTGTCAGGATTTGTAACCGTTGAATCAATTATCTCTGACAGTTACAAACTCCGATTAAATGATTCTGTAACGAGACCTTAGCATTTCCTTTTATTTTTACTGAGAAATGAAAAAATATTTTCGTCTAGAATCCAGGACCAAATGGTAATTGGGCTGTGTGCTAGAGTTAAATATTGGGTCTTGAATAACTGATTTATATGGGCTTAATTAGAATATTGTTTAGAGGAATGGACTAACTTTAAATGAGCCCAATCGAAATATTATTCTTCTTTATATACCCTTCAATTTTCAATTTATACAATTATCTGTTTTATTTCATGCAGTCAGGTTCAGGCTGTACCTCTCAATTCGGATTATCCTTTTGAAGGCCAAAGGGAGTTAAAAAAAATAAAAAAGCTTCAAATTCTCTTGATTTCATGAACAAATGTAATTAATGACCTAAAAAATTATGGTCAAATAAAATGATTACATTATTGGTGGATTTAAAAAAAAAAAAATGAAACCAATTAGTCAGTATATATGAAAATGATCCGATATGAGTTGTCGAAACCGGTAGGATCGGATCTTCCCTCTCAAACTATTCATCAATTAATGTGGGACATCCCCATGTGGAGATGTTTGATTGGTGGTTGGCTCCATAAGGGAGCCAACCATTGGCTCCATAGCATTATTGTAATCTCAAGAGCTACATATATTCATTTTTATTTATTTATATTTTCTAATTCTAGTTGTGTTGATAATAAACCCCACTAGTTGACTTACTGTTATGCTGGGCTTTTAAGGGAGTAAAGCATTTGCATGATGAAAGTGTCTAGGCCCATTATTACTAATATTGCATGACATTTTATAAAGATGATGACATGGCTCAACTAAACGTTAAAAAACATATACATATATATATATATATATATATATATATTTT